ACTCTCTCTTTGTGTTTTTTTTTTAATATAAGAGGTGGGGGGGGGGGGGGGGGGGGAATCGTTTTTCCCTTTATAGGGGAGATTTCCCTCATTTAGTTCTCAAAACCTCTTTTGCTTCACACTGCTTCTTAGTATGAGGCTTGAAAGGAAAAATAAACATTACTGTGGCTTAACAAGTTATCACATGTTGGCTGAGCCTTGCTAATTGTCCATGTGAGTGTGCTCAGCTGGCAGCAAATGCCCCCAGTGACAGGCAAGTTAACTTACATTGCTCAGCCCTGATCATGGGCTAATCGGCTCAGCTGGTGGAAGGCACTGGAAATTGCCAAGCAGTCTCTCCCAGTTAGGTTCAGGAAAAAATACCAAATGATAATTTGAGTCTTTCAGCTATTATTTATCTTGTAAGTTTCTAATGGATACCGATACTGAACAATTAGTTTTTCAGAATAGTTAGTGCCTGCCTTTTTCGTCATAGCTGGAGCTGCTTTTAATCAGGAAATGCTATGTTGTTAAAAAAAGGAATATTTCATGGCAATATATCTGTGTTGAAGGACTTTCTTGAAAGATAGGACAGGCTTTGATGAAATGCTTACTATTTTCCTATCGGTTCACCGAGCTGGTTAACATGAGAGGCTGTGAGGCAGCTGTTGTAGGTGGAACGCCTGAGAGCCATTGCTTCAGTCCTCCAAGGTTGCAAACACATGCTGTACCAGAAGCAGGTATCTATAGCACGTCCATCAGGATACCACAAATAAGGAGGGGACGTTACAGAGGCCGATAGCCAGTGGCAGGACCCTGTGTCAGCCAGATGTTTAAGGTGAATCTGCTTCGACCACGAACTCCACAAAGAAGATCAAAAAGCTTTGACACTCAGGTGGGAAAATGCTATGTTTCATTATAATATGAACTAGAAACTTTGTAAGTAGGAAGAATTCAAGGCATCAGTCAGGCATAATAGAAATAAAAAGCATTTGAAATCACTCATTCCTTCAACCCCAGCCCCCTCTGTTCTTGCAAGTGGGTCTTCACATCCAGACTTTCAGTCACTGTGGCTGAGTCTGCCCAATTCTCTTCTGTCACCTCTGGTCCTTGGGAAATGTCTTTCCCTCATCCCTGAGGGTAGACTGACTGCTCCAGTCCCTGTTCCATGTTGCAGTCATTCTGTACGATCTGGTGATAGCCAAGTCTTCTGTGGGATGCTCTTGCCTGCTATATGCTCCATCCACTGGGTCTTGCTCCCCTTGAGCAGGTTCTGTAGATGTTCCCTGTGGGGAGTCCAATAGTCCTGTCAGTTTTTTAAAGGAACACAGCACAATTATGGCCAAAAGAGGGGGGAAAGAAAGAAATTTTTGTCACGGTGGCCGTGGAGGACTCGGTGAAGACTTTCACCCTTTAAGCAGTCTTTCACGGTAACAGAAAAGAATAGAACCCCACACTGGATCTCATGTCTTCTCACAGCTTTCACTGACCACTGTTATGCCATTGACCTGCCTCCTCATCATGAACATCTTCCCAACAGCAGGCCACGTGTATTACTAGAGGGTTTTATAGCATCTATTTAGTCCCATACTGTGCTTTTGCCATATGAAAGTTAAACCCTTAGTGCTTTCACAAAGGTTCTGGTGCTTTTAGAATTCCTGTTTCCTCTCCACAGGGATTTTTCTTGATAACAGCCCAGTACCTGTAGCTACAAGAAATCCATAGAGTGGGTCTGCATGTTGAATAGTATTTTTAGGCTCACATCTCCTAGTACACCATTGTCTGTCAGTCCTCAGAGGAAACTGAATATTTTTTTATTCCCCTTTTTGTCTTAGTCCTGGTGTCAGAAATAGAATGGTACAATTGGATGTTTTCTTTGGAAACAAGAGCTACAAGACAACTTAAGCCGATCGGAAGCCAAAAATTAGAATTTTATATCCACACATCTGTGGTCCTGTGGTTAATACTGTGTGCATGTATTCCCAGACAGAAAAATTGTAAATTGATGCAAAAGACAAATCAAATTTTATAAAGCTGCCATGCTCTGTGGCAAAACAGGTTGCATCCTCACAAAAATAAGCCAAAAGGTGCTCTTACCTTGTGAATTTACCATGTCTGAGCAGGCGCAGCCTTGAGTCAGATGATCGGCATCTTTTGCTCTGTCTTCCTGTTGTCATCCAATATACGTATCTTCCTCTTTACTTGCTGGTTTAGAATAGATCTTATATTCTTTCTATTGGCACATCCTCCCACATGTAGGGCAAAAATCAGGAATCAAAGACTAGGAAAAGCAATAACGCTGATAGGGAAAATCTGGAAAGGAAACCACCTAGAAAATGGCTACATTCTGTGCTCACACTGAAACACTACTTAGGAGACTATATTCAACTAAGTAGTGATGGGAAAACTGACAAATGCCCCAAAATAACACAGTTAAAGGCCATTATGTTTCCCAAGAATTTTGGACTGACGCTACTGGTCGGAGAGCTGTTGAATGCTTTAAACAGTACATGAAAAGATTGAAATCTCAGAAAACAGCCTTCTGACTTCTGTGAAGGCTTTGGGTTTTTTTGCCCTCCAGCCTATTGAGACAAAGAATGTAAATATATTTTTGATAAGAGGGTTGGTAGGAAATAAGAGATTGGCCTCTGTTTGCTATCAGGAATCGCAAAACTTACAGCAAGATATAATTTTAGAATAGGAAGGAGGAATTAAGAGCTGAGAACATCCGACTACCAATCTTTGAGTTTCAGATTGATCAGGAAAAGAAAAGGTAAATTTTGGGATAACTGAATAGCATTTTTTTTTCCATGGAGACAAAATTTTCATTTTTAGTAGTGGTTTCCAAGGCAACAGTAGCTCATAAAAAAACATTTCTAGTATATAAACAAGCATTCCTGTCAATACAGGGGACATCTAGGCTCTTGTATCCTTGCTTTTAGATAGACTATGTTATATGATGTAAATTCATTTTGTTTAAAACATAGTCAGGGTTCACCTGTATTTCAAAAAGAACCATGAGCCTCCAGGAAAACTTTTTACATGTAGCAAAATGTGTACGTATATATGTGTATAAACAGAACAGGATCTGCAGCACTACTGCAAAAAGGACTACACCGGTATTTCTGTTAAAGGTGACACCTTAATATTCTGCATTAAATCTGATTTTTAGTGAGACAAAAAGCTGCTACTAACTGAATTATATGATAAATAAATATATTCTAGATTTCTCTATCTTATCAGCTGTATTTCTGAATTCAACCTTAATTCATAAAATATTTTCTTACTTCCAGAATACTAGTTAGATAATTCATCTATTGCATTGCATCTAGTGGATCATTTGATGAACTTTATGGGTCTGACTCTTCTCAAGCCAGTTGTTTAAAATACCCCATCCATGGATATTTCAAGCTTATTAGATTCATTAGAGGAGCAAAGCAGATTGATGCCGGTAATGTATATAAATGCTGGCAAGTAACAAGACTTTACGAGGATCAGGATGAGGACTTAATATTATTTACTTTGTTACATAATTTCCGTATGTCAAGACATTTTCTATTTTCTATTGTACACAAATAATGGGTATGGGGGGGAGCAGGTTTAAGTTGCTAAAAAGTGAAATGACGCAAGTGATTTCCTAGTTCATTTGGGATGTCAAACAACAGTTTCTGAATTACCTGAGTGCTATGACAAGCATATTGCCTAGACATTTAAGAATCCACTTAATTGGAGACAATGGAGTAAACTGATTATTGCCAGCCATTAAGAAAAAGAAAGAGGAAAAAGAGGCTGTG